ACTCCATGCCAAGCTCGGCTACCATGAAAGAAAAAGAGATTCTGGACAACATTATCAACGAATCTCAGGCCAAGAAAGCCTTTCATCTGGAACAAGCCAAACGTTTGGCAAACGAAAGGATAATGGTTATGAAAAGTGCAAATAAGCACTCATCCCATCCACCCACCTTTCATTGGTATCCCTTTCTTGAAGCTCCACAAAAGAGTGAGAAATCCTATGAAGATTTTACTCTAGTTCACTCTCAGTCACCAACCAACTCGACTATGCCCACTCTCTCTTTAGAGGAACTGGACGAATGTGCGAAAACGGAAAACTTGCCTGATGTGACTGATGAGTCGACTCGTCTAGAGCTTCACATGCCTTATCGTTTTCTTTAAATGTTGTTTGTTTTTATCTGTAAGGCTTGGGTACCTCTTCCTGATCTCGTTTAATGCAATCTCCTGTCTTTAATGCCATTACTGACTGTTATCTTGACCTCGTTTCTATAATGTCAGAATATTTCTTTTCTGGTCAAAGGTGGAATTATTACACATGTACCTTTTCCCAAAGTTTCTGTCCTGAAATTAAGAGCTGTGCAAAAACTCATGATAATGAATGCATAGACTCTCATCTGTTTCAAAAATCACAGAAATCGATGCTAACTCTCCTAGTTTTTCGCATCTGGTTAAAATCAATGAACAAGCATTGATTGCCATCTCATATTTATTGCTATAAAAGGAGGTTATTGGTTCCATTTTAACGCATCTCACGCTCCTCAACAATGGCTCCTAAAGCACCAATCATTAGGGATGCCACAAGGAGAACCAGAGAAAGAGCTTGTCTTGTGAGAGACGAACAAGGTGATCGTTATCCCGGCAATAACCTGCATGCTCCTCTGGATGTTTCCTCTGACTCAGAGATTGAGGACTATCATGATCTCATCAAAATGAGAGCCGATGAAGATGCCAGATCATTTGATCTTAATGAGGAACCCCCTCTTATTGTTAAAAAGGGCTATCTGTCTTTTGATACTTGGAACAATCCTAAGATGGACAAAGATCTTCGGGATTTCTATCGAACCTATAATTGCAAGAACGAGCTTGTAGGATACATTGAAGGTGAATCTGATGAGGAAATGAACCGCTCTGATGGAACATCTCGTCCGGATGTCTTTGCAACAAAGAAAGTCCCTAAGGGGTCCAAGGGCGAAACCAGCAAGACAAGGAAAGGAAAGGCGAAGAAATGAAAATTTCTTTGTCATATGTTATCTATGTTCAAAAATCATCTTTCAGTTTCTTATTATGTATGGTTAATGGCCTTTTCATTCTCATATCAGTCATCTTGAATAACACAAATCGTTAGTTATGTTTCTAAGTCTCACAAGAGAGGCACAACTCTCAATGGAATATATTCTTAGCGCCTTTTTATGCGTTACTTAGTCAAAGATGAAATAAGTGGCTCGACAAATAACGTAAAAGCTATTGAATGGTCATTCAATGTTCACCATATTCAATGAGGAGAATCATTCATTTTGTGCTATAAAAAGGATGGACATATACACTTCAAAATCACACAATCTCCATCAGAAAGAACATGGCATCTCATAGACCCTTCACTCGGTCCATGACCACTCTGGGAAACGAAGCAACCCGAAGGCTGAGAGCTGAACAAGGAGACCTCTATCCAGGAAACAGCAAGGATGTTCCTCTAGATCTCTCATCTGATGAAGATCAGCCAGAAGAGGTTGTTGTCCCTCTTGTCCCTGAAAGCAAAGACAGTCCAATCACTAATCTCAACGACGCTCCTCCTCCCATGGAAGGAAAGCAAGCCTTTCCCACTGAAGAAGACTGGAAAAATGCTATGTATGATCATGACTATCTAAGCTACCTCAGCTCTAACATCAGTGAATCTGACTCTGATGAAGAGGTCCACACTCCTAACTCTCCATCTGGCTCCAAGACTGCCAAAACTGCGAAATGGTTTAGCAAGGAGCTGGGCAAAAAGATGTCGGTGAAGGCCATGACGAGCAAGGATGCCAAGGGAAAGGGCAAGAAGTGAATCCTTCAATCTTATTATCCTGAATGTACTCCTATCTGATGTTCCTCTATGTCCACTTGAAATAAAATATCCTTATTGTGCTATAACGAAACTTTATTTGCTTCTATATCTCAAACCAAATGATGGCACAAGTGACAAAACGAGAGAAGTAGATCTTTATTTGATTTACTTTATCTTTCAAAGTTGGCGATGTCTTATTGATCTTCTCTCGTCAGGAATCTATTTCAATCCTTGGAACTAAACAATGTTTCATGCTTAGTCTTTCACAATGACAAAGTGTCATACCTCGGTATGAACATTTATTCTGACTATAAATAAGCACATCTCATGATTTATAATTAGTCAAGAGTAACTCACAATGGATAAAGGAAAGAAAAAGATTTCCTCCACTATATCGTTACCAAAGAAGGACTTGAAAGATGTCCAAGAGATATACAAATCTCTCCATTTATCTTTTGAGCGAGGAGAAAAGTTCTCAAGAAGTTTCGGGTGCTAAAAAGCCCCTCAGCTCATCATCTGCTACGATGAGCTCCTTCAACAATGATCCACCTTACCAAGTGTGGAAGATATTTTGTGAAGATCAGATTCAAGATATTGAGGATCAGCTGAGAAAAAGGGTAAAAAGAGCCTGAAAATGATACATCGAGAAAAGAAAGTTCTATCTCGATAACACCAAGAGATGTGTGTTTCTTTCGTGTTTATTCATGTAATAACTCATCTTTTTGCATCATGGGTGATTCATATTATATACCGATCTCAGTTTCTTGAAATTCTATTTGACCCGAGAAATATGGAAACTGATTATCCCATAAATTCAAAAACCAGACTACACGTTCTAGAAGTTACTTGGGAGTGGGAAATCATGCTCTAACCGTTCGATTACATTGATGATGGGAATCGTGTGGCCACAAAACCCGGTCCACTAACCCATGCATCTATGTCAAATGATAAGACTAGCATTTAATGAAGGTTCCCTATACTCGAGTGCTTTTCTCTCTCCTATTTAATGCGGAATGATAAAAATTGATATGATACTAAACTTATCAGACGCATTCATCGTATCAGTTTTCCGAATTGGTCGAACACTAAAAGACCAACCCATTCATATTCAAGAAAAGGGCCGGGTCAAACGTTCGATCTTCTTGGCCCATTGGATAACCGCTATAGGAATTACGCATATAAAACCTAGATCATCATCTCCTCTTCCACTTTTCAAAAACAAAGCTTCCTCAATACTCTAAGTTTTAAAACTCTTTCAGAAAACCTCCAAGCTTCAAAACCTCTCAATCCTTGAAACCCCGTTCCATTACCTCCTCACTGCTTGAAGTTATGGCAAACACAGCCAAAATACCTTCATCTGATGCTGAACAAGAAACAACTCCCATGATGGTGATACCTAGCTTTCCAAAGTCTGATATCAACTTCATCGAATCAAGAGTGCCGTTCATGGTTGGTGGTAGCATGTGGGATGCCCACGAATTTCTGGAATACGTCTTGGACCGTAACTTTGGAGAGAAAGTGATCAATCTTCTCAAGGATAGCAGTTTGTACAATTTTGTTACTCATCTGTATACTTATTGGTTTCCTGTTGATGTAGCGCAGTTTTATTTGAATGCGAGTGTTTCCGCCGATGGATCGGAAATCACCTCTGAAGTCAATCGCACCACTGTAATATTGACTGTTGATGACTTGAGGAAAGATTTCTCCTTCCCTGACCGAGATGAATCCTACCAGCCTGACTTCTCTCGTTATTACTATGAGCAAAATGCTTTCTACGAGAAGATCAAGAACAAACACAGACCAACTGAGGTAACCTGGCCTTTGAAGAAGAAGTGGCTGAAGATGGACTATGAATTCACTGTGGATATTTTCAACAAAATGGTTGAGCACAAAACCTCGGGAACTGATGATGTCACGAAGGATAAGTTCAAAATGTTGCATGCTTTTCTCGGGGGTTACAAGGTGGACTGGTCACAAGTCATCTTCACTCATCTTCGCCACACCATCATACATGGGCGCTCCCCACCAAGAGATAATACCAAAAAGTCAAGCGGTCATTCCTTGCCAGGAGACATTACTAAAAAGATGGGTTTCGGCTTTCTGGTCAGTCACCTTCTTGCCATGAAGAAAGTTCCTTTATGAGCAGGAGTCTCACCAGGACGAAAGGTGTGCCACATGAAGTCAAAAACTACTGGATACGACAAACAGAAAGCTCTTGAACTTAACTTACCCTTGGAATCAGTAAAGAAATCGCGAAAATCTAAACGATCAAAAGGAAGCGATGATGACGTGCCAAAGGCCAAGCGATCACGAAAGAACAAGAACTCGTCTGTACCTGAAACATAAGTACTGATACTGCTCTACCAAAAGCTACTGATACTGCTCAGCCCGACATAGAGACGAAAGAACCATCACCTCCACCCACTGAACCAGAAAATATCACGAAAGAAGTTTCTCAGAAGACCCCTCAAATACCTTCCACCGAACCGGTCATAGTAGATGATTCCGCTGAGGAAGAAGAAGTTCCGCACTCCAGTCCTGTGAAAACATCAAAAAGCCACTTTCGGCCCACCATTGCCAAAGCAAACGAAATTTTTGCGAAATTGGCTCCCCCTCCCGAATGGATATTGCCATCTACACTGAAGAAGAAACTTGCATCTTCTCAGTGGGAAGAAAAGAAGAAAAGGGAATCGAAGAAGAGAAAGAAGAGATCGAAGAGCCTCGAGAGCTTGAAGAAATCACCCTTGCCATAAGAACCCATCCAGGAAGAACAACTCAACACGAGTTTGACACAAGAACCTGCCACGATGGAAAGGGAAGCTCAAGGAGCTCTCATCCTATACGATCACTTAAGTTTCCCATAAGAACCTGGTATACCAGAAGAGACGAGAGAAGTGATCGCTGATCCACATTCAACTCTTGAAGAATCACCCCTCCCACAAGAACCTACCCGAACAGAACAGATGGCTCTCATTCTAACACAAGAACCTGTGAGGGTAGAAGAGGAAGAAGCAGCTCAACAAATTTTGGGTCACTTAAGTCTCCCACAAGAACCTGACAAACCAGCTGAGACGAAAGAAGTGACTCCTCCAATTGAATCCCATCCTGATATAGCTCAGCCCGAAAGAGAAGTCTTGCCCAAGACATCAACACCCGAAAGAACAATTATGACAGTACCAGAAGCTGCACCAATTCCTCCATCAAGGGATCAATTGCTTCGGGAATCCATTGAGAATGACTATAAAAAGGTCTTGCAATGGCAAAGGTGGCACACATCCCCATTACAAACCTTTATTGAAACATTTGAAGCAATGAAGGATGAAGAAGAATTTGCTTTAGAGTGGATCGACACGAAAGATGTTTATGAAGCACTGCGTCTTGAAACAATAAGACGAGTGTACTCTTACAAAGTGACCAATTGCACACTCGGGAAAGACAAGGCACCCTTTGCATTAAACTCAACAAGCCACCGTTGGATCCAGCCTTCGTTGAAGAAATGAAGGAACTTCGATATGCAATGCTCCTATCCAAAATCAAGACTGATTTAGAGAAATCGCACCAAAATGATCCAAATTGCGATGTCAGTGGATCAAAGGATGAAAATGGCAGGGAAATTGATCCCGAAGAATAACAGATCCAGGAAGAAGAAGAAAATGACAAGAACTCCAATCCAGGTGACCATACGGATCCTGATGATGATCCTGAGAACCAAGAAGACGATGAAGCCGAAGATGACAAATTTGATGATGCGCAAGATGACTCTCATGGAGATGATGGCGATGATGATGATGACGAAGGGAAGGACAATAATCAAAATGATGACTCCGATGATGATGACGATGACGAAGGTAACTCAGGTTATGATAGTGAGTCTCCTATCATAGGCAATACTGAGGATTTACCTGAAAAACCACCGGCTTCTCGTCAATCTCCACCGAAAGAAGACCCTACCCATCTGCTACCTCTCGCCATGCTACCTCCCCACCAAGAAAAAGCTCGTGATGGAAATAGGGATGCATCATCGAGTGATGACAGTGGAGAAGAATCACCTCAAATATCGGAACATAGTCCAAGGCACATCATGGAACAAGTCCTTAATGCTCTGTTCAATGCTGAGGTTATCCACATGCAATATCTTGATCAACGACAAAAAAAGACAGAAAACACATAGCCGATTTGTCTGCCAAAGTGGATCACATGATGCAAACCATGCAAACAATGTTTCGTTCGCAACCTGGACACTCCACCCCAATCACTCACAACAATCTTGAACCCGAGCTTCGTCAACAAAGAATCATCCTTGACAAGATTGCAAAAGAACAACATGCTCTCAAACACGCTCAGTTCGGTCTCAAAGAACGAGCAGATCTTGCTTGCACAAAGATCGATCTCGGGCATGACAATATGTATCAGATGGCCGAATATCAACTCACAATGCTTGAGTATGTTAAGGATGTCTTTCTTGCAGTCCAAAGTTTGTCCAAGTTTTCCAACACCCCGTGCGATGATGCCAAAAAGGGGAAAAATTCAAGAAAGGATGATGATGACAAAGATGGAGATAGGAACAAATCACCACAACATGGACATGAACCAAGGCAATTCAATGACTCTTCCACAAGACATGACGAAAGAAGAAATCCTTCTCCAAGGAACACGAGATCAACACCTCCAACATCCATATCTCGGCAACAACAACCTTCCAGATCCAGACAACATCATTCGGTGAAACCCCGACAATCCTTCGGTTCCAATTTCGAATTTTCATTCTTTGGAAAGACAAATAGAGAGAAAAGAAATCTTCGTCAAAGGTTGCTGGGAAATGAAAATATTACTATGGATGCAGTAGGAAACTTTCACACATTTCGGCCATACGAAGAAGGAAGTGGAAAAAGATTTGAAGGGTACAATATACCCATTTGGATGAAGAAGAAAGAAAATTACTTTCAGCAAGTGCATCAAGCCCAAAGAAATGAAGCAATCAAAAAGGCAAACCGTGACCTATGGAATAAGCAAGTGGAAGCAAGACTTGCTAGAGAAAAGGAGCTAGCCGAGAGAGAACGAATCAAAGAAGCAATAAAATGTCAAAAAGGATGCTGAGCCAGGAGTTAAATACAACGCTGCCTTCAAAATTCACAAAGAGTCTGGACGCAACTACACCGAAGGAATGCATTAATTCGAACTCATTGCCTGGTGGAATCTCGGCATAATTGAAGGTGAAAACATTCTTGAAGCATTCAACATCTACTTGAGCAGCAACATCAAAGGAGAGTATGAACAAATTGTCAAAGAAAGCTGTAACACCCCAGATTTTCAAGACTTTTTAAAACTTATAATAAAGGTAGAATCTTATTAAATCCCAAGATATAATACAAGCGTTCGGGGTGCTATGCCACACCTGGGCTAGAGAACCCAAGTGCACAGGCTAACTAACTAATATCCTCGAAGTGTGATTACATAAACGTGGCACGCAGGCCGAAAGGGAGACTATCTACTTCTACACTCCAAGTTCTAGCGCGCTCCAGTGACTTAATCTTCTGCCTGAAAGCCAAATATATCTGTTCAGCGAGAGATGCTGGTAACCCACTCCAACGCGTTGAAATACAATACATATAGATATATATATAGATATACAAAAACCATTTTGAGCATGAAGATATATCCTACGAACTCTAGTTTTAAAACCGGGAATGACTCGACAGATAAGGCCGGACATAAGCAACAGTTATAACGAGCATAAGCAGTTCACAACAGATAAGGCAGATAAGGCAAAGCATAACAATAATCACAACCCAACATAAACAATCCCCAACATAAATCCCACAGTCACATTCCCCGAAGACACTCATAATCACAACTCATCCATATCACAACACATAGCACACTTTGTTGGCGCCACAGGACCAATCGCATGCCCATACATGAGGGTCAGCGCATATAGCTCTGACACGGCCCCGCAGCACCCTGCCCCGTATCGCAACACGGAGGGGTCGATCGCAACCGACCGATGAACCACAGCTCATCATAGTGTTTGATCGCAACCAAACAGTGGACCGCAGCCCAAGAGAATGTCATCTGACCGCAGCCAGGAAAAAGGACGAACCGCAGCTCGTATAGAAACGTTTGATCGCAACCAAACGGTGGACCGCAGCCCAAGAGTATCAATCTGACCGCAGCCAGCTTCTGAACCGCAGCTCAAGATAACCAATCCGATCGCAACCGAATTGGGGTAACACACACACATAACACATAACAAGCACATGCAACCCATATTACACGTCGGGAAGGGGGAGAAAGCGCATAACAAACCTATGCATGATCCATCACATACTAAGAATAGTCCTAAGGGGTTCATACTCCTTCCACCTAGGTCAACGGGATACCACTTCAACTAGCATGCAATATAATAGACTCATAAACCTACGAACGGTACCCGAAACATCAAACTAGACATAGGCACGATAAACGGAGTCCGCTGGGACACCACGGGGAACGGGGAAACATCAAATGGGGAAGCCGGGGTCCCAAGGTGGGATAATTTCCAGCGGGTAGCCGGCGGGTAGCTGCCCGCCCGCCGGCGGCCCGCTGCCGGGAAGGTGTTCTCGGCCGTGGGTAGGTGGCGGGTCCCCTACCCCCCACTGATTCTTATCACACAATACGCCCCGGGAACCGTTGTGGAACCCGAAACCATGCTTAGACACTTTACAACGTAATTAACGACAACACGTAGACAAATGACGGATCAAATACGAGGAACGAACGGCACATAACCTATCATGCTTTTCTAAACATAATCAACACCCAAACATGCGATTTCCTCACCCCCACAATCCAAGAATCATAACATACGATACAACCTTGGGTTCTAATCACTTTTATGTCAACAAGAATACGATTCGCCTTCTAATTGCAAGATTCGGTAAGGATAACACATAAGCATCAAGAACATCACACAATTATCAAGAACAACACATAATTATCAAGAATTCCATATAATCATCAAGAACACCATAATTATCAAGAATCTCCCAATATCAAGATTATCAAGATCCCTCATGGGATCATCACGTCGAGCATCAATAATAATCAACAGATCTCGCCATTCACAATAATATGGGGGAAACCCTAAGGGGAATCATAGCTATGAAAATAGGTTTTGTTGAGACATGGGTTACCTCTTAGCCTTAATTAATTCCTTGGCTATGAAGGATCTTTCTTTAAGCTTTCTTGATTTCTTGATTTCTCCTAAGGGGATTCTTGGAACTCTTTGGGTGGTGAGAGATTATTGTGGTGGGGATTCTAGGTGCCTCCTATGTTCCCTATTTATATATTTAAGACTCCTAGTTAGGGCCTGAATGGTATGCGTTTACTAATTCTATTCCTTATAGGGCTAGGGTTTGTTTTAGGGATAATGGTCCACGGTCCATAGTGGACCATATTAATTAAAGAGGATCCTAATCATAATCTGAATAGTAAAAGGCCTACTTCCATTATTCCTAACAGGCTTAAGACTCTTATTCGGGCAAGGGTCCACGGTTCATGGTGGACCTTACTAATTAATTAAAGGTGAACCTAACATAATTAAATCATATTTAATTATTATTAACGGGATTAATTAAATAATTAATCCGGGATTGAAGGCCGTAACACGGGGTGTTACACTCTCCCCCCCTTACGAGAAGCATCGTCCCCGAAGCTTGGAAATCATTGCAGGGTTAACGAGTCAAGAGTAGAACCGTGGTCCTCTAGAGAAGGTATTCCACGGGGATATTGTATACTTGTACGCCTATGCGTGTTGGGTTTTTGGGGACGATTAGGTTTACAGGGCCAAGAGAGTGGGTTTCAAACTTGAGGGCACGGTGAATTCAGGAATTAGGATCAAGTTTTCAAGGTTGCAACTTAGGTTGTGAGGTTGTCACTTGTATGGAATCGTTAAAACATGGGATTAAGAATGGGGTCTGAAGGGTAGAAAGGGTTTTGAAATAAGGAGGGGGCCGATTTTTCGAGGGAGGGAAAGGAATTCGACTAGGATGGGTTAAGGTTTCTCGATCCCAAGTGAATAATCTGGTTAGATGGTTTGATCACGATGCGTCGACGAGCTGATGATCCTCCTTCCTTGGTGTTGGTACTTGCTTGACTTTAAGATCCTTGTTAAACCTTGGTTCCCAGGCTAAGGTTTCATCCTTCTCTTCTTTCTTGAGGGAATTTCCCGTGGTGATTCAACACTTACTTCTTTAATGCGCCCAAGGTCTTGACCAAGTTGAGTCAACCAAGCCAATCTCTTAGGGCGCACTTCCCAAATTCTTCCCAAAGTCTCTTGGGAGTCGATGGACTTTGGGCTGAATTTCTTTTCTTATTGAATTTCATCTTCTCTTTAGTGGATGAAATTCTTAGTAAGACTTCATGTCTTACCCGAGGTTCGGCATTGTTGTGCCCTTTTTGTGTTATTTTTAATGCTGAAGGTGTCCTTGCGTGCCCTTTTTCTTTTTAAAGCGCAGTCGGTTACCAAATCTAGTTGTGGGATGACTCTGCGACTTTACGAGTCGCCTCATTTCCTTGTGGGTCCTTAATGACCCTTGAAGTCTTGGCGTGAATGTGCTTTCACCCTTTTGCTTTGCACCATGGACTACGTAGTTTTTGATTCCATACAACTTGTAAGGAGTCCTCTGATTTGCTCGAACGATGTTCATGGTTTGGAGGAGTCCGGTCCACCCTTAGCATTTTGACTTTTAAGGTTTTCGTGGGTTCTTAGCACGAGTTCCCAACTCTCCTCATTGGTTTGCGCAATCCTTTACGCCAAACATCCCTAGTCGGTTGTGTCGTAGGACCCAACTTCAATTACTCGTGCATTGTAATTGATTGTGATTTCCCGATGGTGTCTCGTGCATCAAGGTCTTTTACGTAGGACACTATGTTTGGGTGGTCCATGGTTCCTTACCCAAGACTCACATTCATAAATCGAGGCACACAAGTGCGCCACAAATCAATAAAATGAGGGGTTAAGAAATCAGCACATTGTACCAGTGGGCGCGAGGTGGGCGGTCGTCCGCCTACCAAGCTCCTGCCAAGGACCCGCCAAGGTCCCGTCAAGGACCCGTTGGGGACCCGCGGGAAAGTGACTAGGAAGAGTCAATTCCTTCGGGAAAGACCCCAAAAATGCACAGATTCATGTCC